GGCAGTGGTGGCCAGAGCCAGGCAACGGATTCTTCCACGGGATTTTCCTGCAGAAACAAGCCGATCGCTCGGATAAAGCGCCATTCATCTCGCCGCGTGATTTCCATTCAACCACCGGCCGTTGGTGATCGATAACTCTTCCGGCAATTCGTCTTCCGTTTCGTTATCCGCGCTACGCTCGTAATTATCGCGTCGTTAATCTTGTTGCTGGATACGCGTACGCTTCTGTTTCCAATGATGTCTTCGAATTAGCCACGGGCAAGAGAAGATTCTTTCCTATATCAATTGAGATTAATCGCTACACTGGTCCCGTCCATTAAATTCTCCGAGGACACCCTAGGATTTAATTCAGACTTCTAAAACGACTGTTTCCACATATTTAAATAACGAGGTCTACGTTGCCTTCATTCGTAGCCGATCCTATCAGCAAAAAAAGTTCACAATTCTTTGTCGAAATTAATTTTTTACGATCATAATTCGATAAATTATCGGTCGTATCATAAAAGAAAGATTGAGTCGTTATGTACATTGCCCCTTTTATCTGAGCTCTCCATCTCTCATCGATCTGCATATTTTTCGATGAAGTAAAGGACGCTCTCTGGGTGTTCCCACTCTCCAGTGAGATTGACTCGGTTTCACGCGGTGGGATCGATCGACCGCTCATTGACATGATCATTAACCAAAATCCCTTGTGGGGTAAAGTCTCCGTCACGGTTTCCTCTTGTTTCTCAGATGAGAAATTCGTCCGTTTGTGCAACACGCTCGTCATAGACCAGACTACCGAGTGGCAGGTTCAACGTAATCCGGATTAAAGAACTCCGAAACATCGAAAGCGTTTTAACGCTTCCTTCGTCTTCGGGCTTGTTATTCGACCGTGCAACTGGCAAGTTTACCTGCCGACGATTTTATCGCTCTGTCACGCATCCCGCGATCGCTAACTATTGATCAGGTCCATTGCTGTCGAACACGAGGTGCGAATTTTTGATCAACCGATTGCCTTCTTATTAAATCCCTTCTAATCCAGTGACCGATATCGTTAATTGTTAATACAGCAGCTAAAGAAATCTGGTTTCGTCTGATTTTATTGAGGGAACACAATTTTTTGACGAGAGTCAGAGGGATGATTCCGAGGGGGTAGTTCAGGTAAAAGGGAATAGGTGAGCAGCTTGAGAACGTGGCAAGACCGAAGTTTGTAAACAGAGGCGATGTGTACACGGTAGGCTGCATCCTCATTATTTTAGGCCGAAGAAATTCTTTCCTATCTGCTTATGGAATCAGCTGCCGGGCCCTTGTTCTTCTTCCACTCTCGTTCGGAGCTACCGACCTGCTCACCTGCCGACCGGGCTGGATCTAGAGGAGCCGGGGCCTCGCATCGGTGCATTTAGGAAAATCTGGTCGAACGATTTTCAATTTGCTCTCGCAGAGGAGTTTGCCTTCCTGCCTTCACGACGCCGCCGGAGGTAATCCGGCTGGAGGCATACTTCCCGTGGCATCCCTCCTCCCGTGATAATGACGAGTCCCTTCAATTCCGAAAAATCCCAGGCAAAAGTCAAATTCCTTCGAAGTCTGATCGTTAAATCATTTTAATTGATCGAGAAACGCGAGTAGAATATCGTTGAATTTTCTGTGAAGTGAGTCGTTCGAATATGAGACGTCGGAACAGGCAAGGGATTGTTCGTTTTTTTTCCCCTCGGTTTTAACTAACGGGTCTAATAATATTGTCTCGCGTTTCTAACGCGACGACGAGTCGCAATCGGATCGCGTCTCCCGACGAGAATAGAAGCCGAAATCTCAGATCTTCTTGGCTCGGGCTTTTAGTCGGCTTTCCACTGGCCACCGCGTGGCTCTCCTTCCCTCCACCCCTATTCATCACCGTCTCCCTCCGTAACCGTGTAGGAGATGTACGGACGCGTGTATAACTCGCGAGACGCCACGCCGACGATCATTAGAGACGCGGTATTGCGTCCCTCACGCCCTCGGAATTCCAATCTCCACGGCTCGAACGATGCTAATCGAGCGGATCGTGAAAAATCGTTTGAAAGTCTCGCCAACTCGCGTCTCTCGTCGTTGGCCAGGAATCAGTAAGACATAACGTCGACAATTTTCATTCGAACTGAGATAAAACGCTGATTCAACTTCGTTTAGAATTCAGTTGAGACGCTGAAGCTGGCCAAGCGTGAATCCTGCAGTCAATGCAGCTATTTTTTCTCAAAGTCTCATTATTATACTGTTGATTTTTGTGCAAATATTTTGAACATCTTCATTCGTCTCTGGACAATAAATTCATTCACAATCGAGCGATCTATAGATAGCAATGAAAAATCGCAAGAACATCGTGTCTCCCGTTTAGACGCGCCAGGGATCGAGTAGGTCGTTGTAAACTGCAACTTGTAATTGAACGGACATCGCGTCCCGACGAGGGACGACAAGGTTACGTTTGGAACGAGGATGGGTGGGTGGCGTTGTCACGCGTAATGTCGTGTCAGGCGCGCGCGCGTGTAATTGAAGACACCGGTGCGATACGATTCTAAACAAAATGCAACGAGAGCCTAGAGACGGAACCGATCATATCTGTCAGTACCATCGGTTGCAACGTCGCGGACGACGCCACTTTCGTTTCTGTTATTCTTCTGGCCGAGGCAAGGGAGGGCTGGATCAGCATAATTCGTAATTTAATTTCCCGATAAATTCCCGATGGCGTTATTCCCGACGGACCTGGCCGAAATGAGATGGTATCGGCTTGCGCGATTCCACTAATTCGCGTCTAAGTTTATATCGTTCGGGAAGTGGAGAGCAGCACGGGGTCGAGATAGGATCTCCCGTTCTTTCCGCCGCCTCTTCCTCCTCCTCGTTCTGCACGGTTCCGATCTTTTTCTACCGCCGCGGCCGTCTCGTAAAATCGGATTATATCGGCTCCGTCGCCCCTGCGTTGTCGCGCACTTTATTCGAGCCACCACACGATATCGCCGCCCCTCGTTGCAAATGACCGGGGTCAGGGTTCGCGGCACCCGCTAATCGCGTACTCCTCTACGAAACTCGCACCATTTCTTTCGAACGAAATTTCAAATTGAACCTCGATCGCAAATGTCCTCGTTAGACATCGCGTTCTCAATTTCGAGTCTTTCGATTCAAATCTCATTACATGATCAATCAGAGGGTTCGGAGAACAATGTTTGTTATCCAAGAACGTGCGAAGATAAATCTCCGTTTCATTGATCGGCCGTTTCTTGAATAAGCTTTGAAATTCCTGTCCTACAATCGATTCTCATCGAGTTCCCGAAAAACAGAAATGGGAACGGCTTCACGCGACGGGACCGTGAAGGAAGATTCCATCTCAACAAAAACGATCCGAGGATTCTTCGACTATCTCGAATCATGGAGCCATAAAATAATGAATAGTCAAGAATGTATTAAAGAAACGTGTGATTTTGTTTAATGTAACGAACCTTGCGAATCGACGAGAGATGTACGATACGAGAAGAGAGGTAGAGGGCGAATGGTAGGTGCCGGTGGTCACGGGACCGGCGAATAAACGTCCGGGGCACGCGATGAGTCACAAATCCTAATGAAAATAATAATGCCCGAAAGATTCCGTTCTCCTCAGTCCACGGCGCGGCGTGCAACGCGCGGATAAATTTACTGCGCGATCTCGTCTCGGATAAGGCATACCTGGGGACACCTCGTCCGGGGGTTATGGACCCGGGCATGCAACGGGTGGCACGGAAAGTACCGGTGGAAACGACCCGAATCCCCCCTCGTTCCCCCTCGTTGGAAACCGCGTCGTTCCACGTGTGGGATCCGTTGCATCGCGTCGCGTCTCGTGGAAATAATTCTTGTCTCCGGAGAGGACTCCCATGCGACCGGGACCGGAACGGCGAGATTTTCACCTGCCGAACGGATTTATCGCGCTCCCTCGCGGTCCGAAAAGACGCAGGAACCTCTTCTGCCTGCTTTGAACCTTCTTCACCATTCTGTCGACTTTTTTCTACGCCAGATCCTCTCTCCGTGATTTCGATCGTTTTACCACTCGATCGTCTTCTTGCCGTTTTTTACACGAATATCCGTTCGTCCTTACGATTCCTCTTTGTAATGGGATGATCGACGAACATGTGGCGTTCGAAAGATCAACGCTGTGCCAGTAGGAAACGGTGTGTTATCAGTTCGGTAGCCGGGGACCGGTTCTCGAAAACACCCCGTAGACGAGTGTCGTGGCACTTGCGCCGGAGACAGTGCCATATCGCAGCGGCCGCGTCTAAACGACTTGTAAAACAAGCGCTTAACGATTGCCCGTATCTGGATACGGAGAGAGAGAAAGAGAGAGGGGACCGAACGCGAGGAGAGGACGGAGAGGTGGTAAGGTGAAAGCCGGGGAAAGAAGTCGCGAGGCCTCTGGTCCCACGTGCTTCGGCTTCGAGGAGGTCCAGCCCGCTAAATCGAGTTTACGAGACGATGCCAGTCTCCGCGCTTTTTATTCCCATTGTCCCAATCGCGTCTGTTCCGCCCCGAGTCTACCACCCTTGACTCGCGTCCAAGGGATCCACTCTATTATTCGCGATAGTTTACGCATCGACGCTAGTATTATCTTGGAGGATATTATTCTCTTCCGCTTCTCTGCCGATCACAGGCCGGCTGTTTCCTTTACAATTATATTGGCCTCGTTGAACCTCGTGCGATTGTTAAAACTGTTGCAGCCAGTGTGCAGAAATTATTAACACGATCACAATCGTATCGTTGTTTTTTGTTAAGAAAGACAAACTGTAGGACTTTAGAATCCATAAAACTTGTTCTCTTTGAATATGACTTTCTGTGTCCAACGAACTGAACTAAAAACGCAGACTCTGAACAGCACAATGTTAACATCCGTGCCATTTCCCAAAAGTGATTTACACCACTATGATTCATACCCCCTCATACGTACATTCCATAAAAATTTAAAAACTTCACGTACCATGTGACGATGGTAATTGTTCTAAGCGAACAAGTATCTTTATCTGTTCCAGCGGTCAGAGGGAGGACAAGACCCACGGCGGCGGTTTGGGCGACTCGAGCAGCGAAAGCGGCGACGACACGAAAAGACAGGCCGTTACCCAGCAGCAACAGCAGCAGCAACCGACCGCCTGCGCGGTTCAACAGCAGCAGCAACAACAGCAACAGATGGTGGACCACCAGCAGACGTCCAGCATGTACCAGTTACCACCGCCCGTCTCCGTTTCCAGCCCTCACTCGTACCACCAGGGCCACGGGTCCAGCTTGAGCCATCCTCACACGCCGACGCACCACATGCAGCACCACGACACCGGCAGCGAGAGCGGCGACGACAAGAGGAACCTCCATCATCAGTTGCAGCATCATCTTCAGGTCGGTGCTCACGGTACTCACGGCTTGGTACACCCTACGGCGACGTTACCTCCGCCACCGCCCAGCTGCGCCCAGCAGAAGACCCAATTGGACTATATGCAGTATTATAGTCCACAGGTATAGTAAAATGTTTTGTGAGCTTTCTTATAACAAATTAAAGAAACGCAAGGAACGTGGATGTTTGGTTTGGACGTCTCTGTATTTGAATCGATCGACTTTTCAGATATAATTCTGCGATTCATTTTAACGAATTTAAGTGTGACGATAATTATCGTTCGTGTTCAATTAATTTTGATATCTGTATTTTAATATTTATGGGCTTCGCTATTTACCAAGCACCGATTAACTTGATCGACGATTAAATATACTTAACAGTAGAAGACACCTTATTTCGAAGTATATGTATTTCCAAACGTTGTGAACCAATCTGGAAATTATTGAATTGTAATACATCACGTATTAAATTGTATGAAGTATATAACAATTTAAGGATGTATTGACTGTATAGCCAATACATCCTTAAGAAAGACATGCAATTGAAATCTTGTCATTGGCTACGCTTGATCGTTAATTAAATTAATCGGAGCTCAGTAATAGCGAGCCTAAGTGATGGAACTCGGAGAAGAATGTCAGGTAAGAATAAAGCGGTTTGCACATAACTAATTAAATCTAGAGATTAAGGGAATGTTTCTTATCCTAACAGTATGAGCATTCTTAATTGTAATTAACATGAACTAACGATAACAATTATCGAATCGGTGATTCTCGTTAAGCAGTAATTCTCCAGGTAACGATCACTCTATACGATCTATTCGATCATCCATTTATCTTGCCATTCGGAAGAGATCCAACCAAAAGTTCATGCTCTTCAAACGGGGAACAGGGATTTCCGTTCAACGCGGTATGCGCGTGATTCTCTGTTTCAGGATTACCTGATCACGCCGACTTCCGCGGATCTACAGAAGTCGTTGCCGCACACGGCCACGTCGATGCAGATGGGTGCTATAGCTCCTTCCATGGGTGGGCTGAGCCCGATGGGACCGTCGACGATGCTGCCGAACACGATGCAGGGCGTCAACACGATGAACACGATGTCGATGAACGGGATGGGCATGGGGGCGTATCAAGGCATGGGTTCCATGGGTATGTCCACGTCGCACGGTAGTTATCACAGCGGCCTGGTGTTGGGCGATTACCACTCGTTGTGACCCTGGGCCCCGAGCACTCAGTCAAAAAGGAACCAAGAGAAAACTTAAAGCTGGAACTCGCTGTCGAATCGCGGGGCGGACTCGGCCACCAATTCGTCAGTAAGATAAAACAATTATTTTATTCCGAGGACCGTTCGTCCGTTCGCGTACTCGGTGAAAAATCGAACGTTTTCCACGCAAATCGATAGTTCGAACGAGCCTCGATCAGGATCACAGTACGTACAATAGTAGACAAATTACTGTTGCAACTTTAAATCGGCAATCGTGATCTCCAATTCGTTTGGATCCCTAAACGATTCGGGTCGTACCTCGATCTTTCAAATCGCCACGCGCAGAGACTAAATCGTTTTCTGAGACGAAAGGAAGCCGATGATTCGGTATCGCACATGCATACAAGCGTACAATATACATAACACAAAACACCGTGTACATTGTACTCCCGATTTTTGTTGGGGAACACGATAGAGTATATATATAAATATATAAATATAAATATAGTACGTACGATTATACGAATAGTAGCTGTGAGAGAGGGAGGAAGCAGCAGAACGCTTCCGATTGAAAAATAGCAAAAGACATGTTAGCATTTTTCTTTTTTCTTCCCGTATCGCCGCGCGACGCAAGACAGTCCTCGTCACATTTCCAGACAGGCGCTTCGGACACGTCGTTCTACCTATTTTTCGTACAACTTCTCGAATTAAAGAAACACGCGCCATTTACGGTTACCAGTAGTTCCAGACTGTCCAAGCTTCTCGATCTCGACGAAAGCCATGCTCCTCTATTTATTAAAAATCGATTCATTCGTACAGATTATTGATCTTTGAAAAGAGACGAGAAACATTAATTTCTAT